GTAGTGAGCAAGGGGAGAATAGCACAAGATGAGACTAGATAGATGGGGCAAGACATGAAGGGCCTTCTGGGCCAGCTGAAGGAATTTCAGCTTGATTCAAAGAGTGAGGGGAAGCCATCACAGTGGTTTCGAGTAAGGGAATGACATGATCAGATCTGCGCATTTCTAAGGTCACTCTGCTGGGCCAGAGGACCAGAGGGGCCAGAGTAATTAATGGTGATTGGGTGTGGGTAGTGCCGTGGAGAAGGCAGTGGATGGAACAGAGGCACTTTGAATGACTGAGTCAGAAGGATGACTCCCAGGGCTCTGCCATTGCTGATGGAGAAAGAAGAGATCTGCCGGGAAGATGAAGAGCTCAGTTTGACATTTAGGTTGGAGATTCCTATAGTGTTGATGATGATAAAATAATAATAACTAACCCGAGTATTGATCCAGAAACTAACAGTAATAGTAATATCACCCAGAATATCTTGAGCCAGGCATTGTGCTAAACAAACCCTTTACATAAATTGCCTCATACAATAATCACAACAACCTCTGATGTAAGAACTCGAATCCCTACTGAAGCATAAAATTCAAGGCCTGGCCATCTGGATCCAAATGACTGAAGTCCACCAGCCAAGGTTTCCTCTCCCTTGGACAGTGCTTAGGTGGACACTGCCAACATTTACAGCCTTGAATTTCCTGCAGTATTTTAATAAACTCCAAATTCCTCTTACAAACCCCCTCCCAAGTCTTCCCTATCCTACTCTATTCAGCCGATCTTTCGTTCCATTTTTTTCAAAGTTAACACACACATTGTATAAGAAAATCAAATTCTCCTAAAAGGCTCTTGTTCCCTTAGCACCATTCTCCTTCAGTAGCAGAGTGAAATAGCTCACATTTCCCTGCTTAAAACCCTCCAGACTACACTTTGCTCACAAAGGCCAAAGTCATTGTTATGGGGCCCAGCCTGCTTTCCACTCTCATCTTACTACCCTGAGTTAACCTTTGGTTCTCACAGCAAATTTCCCTACCTCAGGGCCTTTGGCATGGTTGCCTCCTTCTCATCCTTCAGGACTCAGCTCAGAGGCGTTTCCTGACTGAAGTGGCTGCTTCCCTTATTCCCCCCACTGTTACTGTGTTTATCACAGCATTGATTCCTTTCTTTCATTGCACTCACCACCAGCTCTAATTATTTTGTCTGTTTATTTACCGTCTATCTTCCTGCCACTGGAATATCATCTCCATGAGGACTAGACCCAAGTCTCTGATTCTCCACTCTCTCCCCAGAGTCTTGCTCAGTTCCAGATACATAGTAGGTGCTCACTGTAAATTTTTATTGATTGAATGTTGAAAGGACACTGCAATTACATCTTAAGGCATTTTTTGTCCCCTGTGTTTCCTGATGTATTGGACACTCTGTAGTTATTACAACTGGGTCCATTGCTGTAAATTTAGAGGGACTTTACCTGAAAAGATATCTGAAGGTTGAGGAAAAACATATTGAGCATATTATTTGAGAACATACCTAATATACTGTTTCCTAAATTTTTAGACACCTTATAGTTCAATCCTTTTAATAACCATGTCAGTGAAGTTGCCATTATGCCCATTTTATGAATGAGAAGACTGAGAAAATGATGCTGTAGAATACTTTTGTGCATTTGGGGAGTCATGAAGTCCTCAGAGCTTCTCTCTCAGTACCTGTGCCTTGTACGTACCTTGTGTTCCTTCGCCTCAATTCCACACACTTCCAGAACCCTATTGGGACTCGCTTGTGGATTTGGGATACCTTTATAGCTTCTTTTTCTTTTCTCCAGCTCTTTATTTTCAGACCTACAGAAAAGTTGAAAAAATGAACACCCATATGCGCTTTACCTTGATTCACCAGCTGTTAACATTTTGCCATGTTTGGTTTATCTATTAATCCATCTTTTTACTTTGTTTTTTGCTGAACAAGTTGAGATTAAGTTGCATTCATCATGATCCTCATGCATAATTATTTCAGCATGTATCTGCTAATTAGGATATTCTCCTACATACCACTATTTATTATTGCACTCAAGAAATTCATCATTGTGAATCTGCGAAATATCTCACAACGTGGATGAATCTGGAGGGCATTATGCTGAGTGAAATCAATCACAAAAGGACACATATTGTATGAGACCACTACTATAAAAACTCAAAAGGTTTATACACAAAAAGAAACAATCTTTGACGGTTAAGAGGGAGGGAAGGGGTAGGAGGGAAAAACACTAAATAGACAATAGATAAGTGGTAACTTTAGTGAAGGGTAAGACAGTACACAATACTGGGGAAGCCAGCACAACTTGACCAAAGCAACGTCTTGGAAGCTTCCTAGACACATGCAGACTCCCTGAGGGATCGAATTACTGGGCTGAGGACTGGGGACCATGGTCCCAGGGATTATCTAGTTCATTTGGCATAACATAGTTTATAAAGAAAATGTTCTACACCCTACTTTGGTGAGTAGCATCTGGCGTCTTAAAAGCTTGTGAGCCGCCATCTAAGATACTCCACTGGTCCCACCCCATCTGGAGCAAGGGAGAATGAAGAAAACCAAAGACACAAGGGAAAGAGTAGTCCAAAGGACTAACAGACCACAACTACCACAGCCTCCACCAGACTGAGTCCAGTGCAACTAGATGGTGCTCGGCTACCACCACAGACTACTCTGACAGGGATCATAATAGAGGATCCTGAACAGAGCTGGAGAAAAATGTAGAACATTCAAACTCACAAAAAAAGACCAGACTTACTGGTCTGACAGAGACTGGAGAAACCTTTTAACTGAAGTCACTCCTGAGGGTTTGCCCTTCAGCCAAAGATTAGACATGCCCAGGGACAAGGACGAGAAGGCAGGAGGGGACAGGAAACCTGGTAATGGGGAACCCAAGGTCAAGAAGGGGAGAGTGTCGACACGTCATGGGGTTGGCAACCAATGTCACAAAACAATATATGTATTAATTGTTTAATGAGAAACTAATTTGCTCTGTAAACCTTTTCTTAAAGCACAATTTAAAAAAAAAATTCATCACTGATAGAATTATTGTCTAATAATGTCCTAGTAAGTATCCTTTATAGGTAGTTGGTTTTGTTTTGAGCAAGGATCCAAATATGAACCATTATATTTGGTTGTCATACTCTTTAGTCTCCTTTAGAATAACCCCAGCCTTTACTTGTCTTCATGACGCTGACACTTTTGAAGAGTCCAGGCCAGTTACTTTGCAGAATGTTCCATAATTTGGATTGTCTAATTGTTTCTTCTTGATCAGATCCATGTAAATACTGTTGGCAAGAACACTACACACATGATGTGCCCTCCTTCCCAGTGCATGACAGACGAGAGGCAATACAGGCAGTCCCCAGGTTACAGTATACAACCTGTAGTTACAAACCAACCCCCTTTAAGCCCATCATATTAAAAATTAAGGGTACATACAATGGGTCATAATAACAAACAAGGTGATACTTCGCAATGTGCATCAAAACATTATTATTGTATTATGTTAAAGATGTTTTAGTACATCTGGAAGTGTTTAATGTTTTTTATGCAAAGAAAGGTATACTATGTACTATATACCAAGACAAATATTTGACTAACATTAGATACAAACTGTACCAAACTGTTCCAATTTATGTACAAATTCAACTTAAAGAGATTTAGGAATGGAACTCATTGGTAATCTGGGACTGCCTGTAATGTCAGTTTGGTCCCATTATTGATGATGTTACGTTTGGTCATTTCTCCAAACTTAACAGATTGCTCCAGTGCGAAGTTACCTTTTCCCTTTGTGTTAGTAAGTAATCCAGAGGGTAAAACTTTGAGACCATGAATATCCTATTCAGCCTTTCACAATAGTTTTAGCATCTATTGATGGTTTTTAACCTAAATCATTTATTATATTAGTAGGTTGCAAAATGTGACTTTCTAGTTATACGCTTTTTCTACATTTATTAACTGGTCACCTTCTGGAAAAAGAAACTTTCCTTTCTTCCATGTGTTCCCACTCCCCACCCCTGAGGACTGTTTTTCAATTCAATGTTATAATCCATTCCTATCGTTATTTTTAATGATCAAGTTGTCCAAAATGTGGCCAATAGGAGCCCCTACAAACTGGCTCCTATGTCCTTTTGGCATGTTCCCATCAGTTTTTAAGCATTCCCTTTCTTGCACAAGATAATCAAGGTTTGCGTTGTAATTTCTTTGCCTCAGTCCTAGAATCAGCCTCTTCTCCAAAAAATTCTGTTTCCTTTTAGTGGGGAGTAGGGAAATGGTATTTAGAACCCAAAATCTGGGCACTAAGCATGCTGATTGTTATTGGGTTATCTCTGCTTCTAGGCCCTTTCAGATGACAGAGCCAGGAAATTATGTATTAAAAAAAAAAAAAAAAGTTAAAAATAAATACAATTTATACTGATTCCTCAGTTTCCACTCTAGTACTTATAGGGTTCTTCCTCTGCTCCATTCCACACTAGAATCTCTCTTCTCTCACAGTGAGAATCCTCATTCCCTAAAACATGAACATACTTATTCATTTGGTCTATCCCACAATACACACAAAGTGGTTCCAGAATTACAACAGTAAACCAATACCACAAAAAACTTACTGAATTCAATATTCCTTCGTAGTTCTTTTTATACTTAGGATAAATTCCCCTGAAGATATTCAAAATTCACTTGAATTTTTTTCTCAGTGGTTATACTAATTTGAAATAATTTCATTGTTTAATATAAATTCATTGTTTAAAACATCAAAGGGGAAAACACTAAAACAGATTACCATTTTATTTTTTTAATATGTAAGACTTCTTAAGGACCAGAGAGAACATGAATCAAGCACCATTTGGAAATGGAATTACCACAGGCACTCACACAGCCTTGGACTTGTATTCCAATAGCTAGTCAGCAAGTCTTTGCCAAGACCCTACCTACTAAAAATGGGTTTCATCTTCTTAAATCTTCAGTCCAACTGACTTTTTCCCTCTTGCAGAGCACTTACGGAGTTCAGTGATCGATCGAAAAGACTTAATAATCAAAAGGATTAAGCCCAAGCCCCAGCAAGGAGATGACATCACAGCGGTGGATGTGGAGAAACAAATTGAGGCCTTCCGCTGCCGCCTGATCCAGATGCTGGGGGAGCCCCTGGTCCCACAGCTCCAAGACAAAGTGCACTTGTTGAAGCTCCTGCTCTTCTATGCCGCAGACTTGAACCCTGACGACGAGCCCTCTCCAAACACCTGGAGCGGCCCCTAAGGTCCATCTGAGCACTGAACACCAAGAATACCTCCTGAACTCTCTCTCTACTTGGACATTCTAGAAGTCTGACAAAGTAGTTAAAAATCTTACAGGACCAAGCCTATCTTATTTATCTGTAGGTTTTAATAACTTTCTAACTTTAGAAAATATCTTCTTTTGATAATCCAACCCTAGCCTCTTCTCAGATATGGCTTAAATATACAAGGTGTACATATATTTTTTAATAAATTATTTATCTATACTTTTTCTGAAACAGGTAATACTATATGCACTATATGTTAAACATTTCCATTCAAGATGTGAAAAAAGAATCCCTCTGCTGAACAAATTCTAGACACCTATGCTATGTCATTCAGGGTACTGACAACCTGTTTCTAGAGAGGACATATGACTTAATTTTTTCCCCAATGGAATGCACACATTATACTGCCTACGCATTTGACTTTGTGGTCAGTCTATTAAGATCTAATGTAATGAAGAGGGGTAGAAACAAAAGGATTGAGTTTGTTACAAATAATTTGATGTTAAAAGGATACAATAAAAAGGCAATGGTTTTTTCAAAATACCAAGCTTACCATACTTAGGTTTCATGACTGTGAGTAGGCAGAATGTAACAGCTCTTAACTGGACAAAAAAAAACCCAGCTGTCCACATTTGAGAAAGTAGTAAGGATTTTTATTGTCAAAACAAGTAAGACATACAAGCATAACAGAAGACACAAATAAATTAGTTGTTGTGGTAATTCTAGGCTCCATGGTCTCTCTATGGAAAGGTCAGCTCTTTATGTAGACAATATCCAAACCAAAACAGCAGATATTTGAGACAGTGCTCAAGACAATGACTGAATGAACATGTACACAGAGGGAAGCAATAAAAAGGCAGTTTCCCTATTTCCTTTCCTCAGTAAGTTATGTATGTGTATAAAGGTATGAGGCTTACTTTGGGGGAAGATGCTTTCTTATAGAAAATGTTAATTTCCTCTGCACCCCCAGGAAAAAAAGGTTTTGAGCCCTGGGCTGAACAAGGAAATCAAATAGGGTGACAGTAGGTTCATATGAACCTCAAGACTATACTAGCTGTAGTTACCACCTTATGTACTTTAAAAAAAATTAACAACCATATCAAACCAATATGGAAACCTTGGTGGCGTAGTGGAAGAGTTCGGCTGCTAACCAAAAGGTCGGCAGTTCAAATCCACCAGGCAGTCCTTGGAAACCACATGGGTCAGTTCTACTCTGTCCTATAGGGTCGCTATGAGTTGGAATTGACTCGAAAGCAATGGGTTTGGGTTTTTTTGGTTATCAAACCAATACACTGAATTTTCTCCCTTATGAAGTTTTCGACCAAACTGGAGTTAAATCTTAAAGTGCAAGAAAGGATTTACAAGACTAGTGTTTGCTCTGTGTGACATAAAAAGAGAAGCATCCTTCCAACAGCACTGGCCCAAAAGGGACTATGATAAGAGCTGGCTGCAGGACACAGTGATCCATTAGGTCTACCAAGAAGGCAAGGGGAGGCCAGTTTCAGCAGAGTCTGGCTCTTAAGTATACCCAGATCTCAAACAGATCTTAGTCCCCCTAACCAGCCAAGCCAGAGCACATTTCAGCCAAGTGTTAGAAGGGTCGGTGTTTAAACTAGTCATTGAACACCTCTACTTCATGATTTGTCAGTGCTCACGTTGATAGCGGTAAAGGAATCAAGAAGCCTGGGTTTTGGAACAGCACAAACATTATTTACCTAGGAAGCCATGATCAAAGTTCCTGTCTAGGGGAAATAATACAAAAATAGGTCATGAGGTCTCCCATACATCACTGCTGAGATTATTTAGTCTAATTTTAAATTAAAGCAGTACAAAATAGCTTCTTCCGCACAATAAGGACAAGCTTTGCACTAATGTTTCTCAAAAGCCAATTATGTCTCCAGCTCTAGCCTTGGTTTAACAGGTTTTTAAAAAATATACCTTTCCTATGTCAGAGCCAAGGTAAAAGGGGCATGGGGGAGAAGACACCCTCAATCCAGAGTCCCTAGAACAGAAAGAACTCTAGAACCCAGTGGGCGTGAGCACATTCAAGTCACGGGGTTTCAGGTTATGGGTCCGGGGCGCTTGTTTCTTCCCTTCTATCACTGGGATGTCCATCTTGGGCGGCTTGAAGGCCACTGGATCCTCAGCCATACGGGTGGCCTGCACACGCATCAGTTCCATTGGAGAGGGCTTCTGGGCGCCTCTGTAGGCCTGGGTGGCAAAGCCTCCTACAGAAGTAAACCACAGAGCAAATTTCAAAATTGGCAGGCAGGTCCCAACATACAACATGATGAGATGCCTGCCATGTTGCTTTCTCTTTTGAAGAAGCTGCCTTACCCGAATCAGACTTCTGGAGGGATCTCGGTCCAAAGAGGCTCCATTTATCTGATGGGTTTCTGTCCTTATCTCCACTTCCAGAATCCATGGTGCTAGAATTGGGGGCGGGTAAGGCTGTGGAAGAACCTGAAGTGAACCAGCCTCTGGAAGAGAGAAGGAATAAAACATATCCAAATATATCCTCTTCCTACGCCTCCAGAAATGTCTCGCACCCAAAGAATAGGAACTGTCAACTGTCCCTTCTCTCAAACCACAGGCTCAAACCCCAGGTTCACGTGCAGCACAGGCTTTCCTGAAGCACCCCAATGCTCAGAGGGCTCACAGGAGGACTCACCTGGATTTCTGCTTAGGGGAAGAGTGGGGGCTGCTGCTTGGGGTGGACTGGGCTGATGCAGGCTGCTTCTCTTCCTTTGTGATCTCTCCACTCTGCAGCTTTAGTTTCTATTTAGATGGGTAAGGAGAGAGACTTTTTAAACATTAGAACCAAGTCCAAAACAGCTAACCTTGGGCATAAACAATTTGGTTCACGTTCTAACTTCAGGCGAAAGGAAAAATGTTCATAAGTTAGATTCATTTTGGATTACAGAATAGATAATTCCTTGTTTTTGCCATACTAGGTGGAATTCCGTCTTTTAAACATGTATTCATTCTACCACATATATCAAACATTTTTGTATTTAAATACTATGTTAGAGCTTGTACTTTCAGAAGTGATTTTCCCACATTCCCCCAGCCAGTACGTGGAAGAGCCAGAACTCAAGCCTCCTGGGCCTAATAAGCAGGACCCTGACTGCTCTCACAGTCTCTCCTACCTACCAAGTACAATCCCTGCCATTCTCACGGTCTCTCAGAGACGAGACTCAGGCATACTCTTCCTCTCCAGTTAAACGCTTCCTCTGCAGAGCCTGTCCCATTCTCTCCCACTTAGTCACTCCTGCTTCACCCAGCACTGTGAACATACCTCTAACCAACCAACAGTCTAGCAGGGGAGGGACCAATCTACTCAGTTTTAGATCAAGGTTCCCATACTGCCTCTACCCTTAACTTCTCTCTAGTGTGCCACTGCTTAGCACACTTGAATTTTCTCAGTCACCCAAAATGTGAATTTACATAAGCTAACAATTTGCTGCAAGATGGGATTAGTTTCTCACATCAAGCATTTCAGCCATCCTCATGCTCTACTCCTGTGGTCAAGACTCAGAAAGGGGGCCAACCAAGATCAATGATTGGCCCCCTTTAAACAGGATGAATCGCTCAACCAGAATTCTACTAATATCTATCTGGAAAGTTCCCAGTGAAGTGTCAAAGACTGGCAGTGCCCCTCTCTGGAAGCATCTGTCTTGTCTGAGAGCTAGCCTAGCCCTGATCCCCTACAGCAATGGTTTTTAACTTCACTGTGCAAAAAAATCATCTGGGATGCTCATTACAAAATGCAAACGGTCCAGTGTCCTGTATCCCTACCCCCAGGTCACCAGACCCACATTACTCCTCCTCCCATATGTGTATTCCATGATCCTTTCCTGCCATATGTGCTCTTTTCCCCATGCCCAAGAGGCCCTCACCACCCCCTAGTCAGAACTCAGACCTGATTATGACCCACCCCTACAAAAAGCAGGCCAAGTTTCCCGGTGGCTATTTGTGACCCTTCACCAATTACCTCTGCCCTCCCTTATGAGTCCCTTCAGGAGCCAGATTCTCTGACAACTCTGGAATAAGGGAAAAAAACAAACAGGAAGTAAGGCATCAGGGGACTTGTTGAGTCCAGGTATTGCGAGGGGCTACAAATGTGGCCTTGGGCTTCAATCTCTTCATTTATAAAATATGGAGAATAGTATCTACCTCAAAGAGTTAATGCAAAGATTAAGTGAATGCAAGTACTTCATAAATCGTGAAGCGCTATTCAATATGAGTGGTATTCCCTGAAAGGAAGTCGTCTGAAACTATTTTATTGATTCAAGTATTTGGTCATTAACCCAAAAGTAATTCGTCATTCCAATTTTTGAAATTAAAGAACAAAAACATTGTAATTCCACGTTAGATTTTAAATATAGAGCATGCTGTTGCTTTTCAGCCAAACTGTGACCTCTGTTGAGGTTGCCTGACTCTCCTCTCTCTCCCTCAAAGCTGATCCTTGGTACACAAATCACCACATTTGCTTTATGGTTCATAAGGTGCTCGCACATATCACATGTGACCTCAAAATCTCATTTGATCCTCCTAACCAGAAGAAAACAAAACAGATACCTCCACTTATAGATGAAGAAGCAGAGGTAGGAGGCAAGGGCTCCAGTGCCTTCAGCCAGGAAGTGCCACCACAGGTGGGACTAAACTAGTTCTAGATTCTTCATCCAGTTCTCTTCCCACCACTTTCACGGCCCCCAACTGGCTGAGCTGGTAACTTCTAAACCATAGCCACATCTCAAGCCATGAATGATGAAGGCTTTGTTCTGCCCTTTTTTTTTTTTTAAGTTCCTCAGAAACAAGCTTACATGGAGTGCTTCTGCCACCCGAAGGTACTTGGTTTCCTCAGTGGTAAGGCCCTTGTGGGGTGTGTAGCCAGCATCTCTCAGGCCTGCCTGTTGCTCAAACCGGTGAATGCTCTCCTGGGTCTGTTCTGGGAACAGAGGAGATGACAGTCATGCCTGTTCCCTTCTCCCATCACAAACAGGAGGACAACACACAGATACCCGCTGTTCTCCCTAGAAACAACAGATCATGCTGACCATCCATCCACGGAAGAGGGTTCCTGAGACAGGCATCTTAGTAATTCTGAACCTCACACAGAGGTTCTCTAACTAGAAGGAGGCTTTCCTTCACACCAAGATAAAAAACAGGTTACTCAGAAAGGGACAGCTGAATAACCTCCAGCTGAACACCCCTTACCTACTCTTATTTAGACAAGGTGACGTTCTCTTTGTATTTATATAAATGCAACATGGAGAAGGCAGCTGATGTTCAGAAACACTGAAAGTTCTCCAAATATAAAGTTTCCTGAGAGAGATTAACCACCGTCATCACCCAAACAAAAACGTTTGCCAAAGAGAAACAAGCCACATTTAGGCTAGATGGCACCAAGGAACCAATCAGATTTAAACCACAGGGACCCTCCCTTGAACTAGCCACGGCTGACTAATCCAACGTTTCTCATGTGTGAAACTGTCTCTCACAGTGCCTGGCCCAGCAGACAGACTCAACTCAGGGTCAGTTCAGCCTGCCCTGATTTCTCATCATCAACAAGTCAGTTACAATGTGAAATGAGTGATGGCTAAATTTTTGCTTACTCTGTACATACACTATGTACTACACCCCTACGTCCAAGAGGCAACAGCTACAGACCAAAAGTCTAAACGTCGGGTGTCCTTTACAACTTAGTCATTCTCCACCTAAGTACTTCCATCAGAAATAGAAGCTAAGAAAAAAAAGCCATATGCAGGTAGATACACTCCAGTCTTACCAGGTAGTCTCCTGAAAGTCTAAAAAATGGGAAGGAATTTAATTAATTATGTTCTACCAGTACCAGGATTTTATATGCAGCTATTTTGAAAAATGTAAAGACTACAGCAACATCAAAAAAGTGTAGCTGTATTAATTGAGAGAAATAAAATGGTATGTCTACTATATCTGCAATTATATAAAAATATGCATATGTAGAAGTGAATACGCCAAATAAGTATCTGAGTGACTAGCATATTTGCAGTGTTCTGTACTGCTGGCAAATGAATTTCAATAACGAATTTATACTGTGCTAAAAGAACAATGGCTAAGCTTTCTTACACTGCTACAACACATTCTCAAGCTTGCAAAATACAAGTAGTACTTGCTGACTCAAATGGTACATTTAAATATGAACAAGAGAAGTCAGGGTTTGGACGTTTGGTTCTTGGATGAATTCTCAAGAAATTGCACAAGACAAACTGATGCTGTCCCAGAGAGGATAAACAAGGGCCTCCGACTTCACAAATGAGCCAACCAGGGAGAACCTCCACGTACCTTACCCCTGGCAGAGGCACTGCTGCTGACAAGCAGAGCTATGAATCTTCTGTCAACTTCCCACAGCAACCAGGAAGGCCCTCCAGAACCAAGTTTAGTTAACTTGTTATAAGGTTGTTTTTTTTTTTAAAAAAAAGTAAGGTCTTATGTGTTAGGTCTCATTAAGGCCACAAATCACACATTCTTAAGGCTTGAGGCACCAAACTTAGTCCTCTTCCTGAAGGACCAATTTTAAGCTGTTTAAAAATAATAATACAGGGCAGGTAGGAGGTGCCTAAGTGTCCCTTCCCCAGGAGAGTTCCAGACAGTCACAGCAGCAGCTCCCAGCTGCTCACACTGAGCCAGACTCCTGACACACAGATTCCCATTCAATCCTCACCTCAACCTACCAGCTAGGTACTGTTATACCCACTTTAGAAAGTGGGGAACAGTGGCAGCAGTTAAGTAACTTGCCCAAGGCCACAGTGACAGATATGAAAAAACAAGATGGCATCAACAAAGCAGCAAGAACACACAGAAGTCACCTCAGACACTTCTTGGTGGCGAATCTTCCACCTAAATGGAGCCTCAACACTGAGTAGCCAAACTGACACAAGATTCATTTATTGAATCTTAATTTGACAGGCACAGTTAGGACTGAGTGCTAAGGACTGAATGCTGACCGCAGAATCATCCACAGCCAATGGTAGGAAGCCTGAACTGTTCCCCGCCCCGACTTCACTCTATTCAGAAGGTGAAGAGTGCTTACTTGTGATCAGAGAATTCATGATGACATGGGTGGCTTTAGCCTTCACCACTGGGACCTTGTCCATACTGTCAGTGGCGGATACACTGGCCTCTCCTTCCTCCACCTGTTCAAGAGAGGTTAAGGAGGCACTTGAGCAGGGAAGGGAGTCACACACTTAAATGTACCCCCTTGGGGAAGAAGTTACTGAAGTAGCTTTAAACGGTAAGTGAAGAAATACTCCAAAGGGTTTGGTCCCCCTACTCAGTTAAGTAGGTATTTTACCAGGGGCAGAATCCAATAAGCAAGGTAAGCACTACGGATTAGTAAGGAAGCACAAATAAGCCTGTGCTTACCTTGCTTACTAGGTCATCTGCCCCTGTCAGGGATTATAAATTTAAAAAAAGGCTTTGATTCTACAGGAAGGTGCTGTGGGCTTGAGACAGGGACAGATGCCAGCCATACTTAGAATCTTTGATGTGGTGAGATTGTTCACTATAGATGATCTGGTAAACAAGGTAAGCACTATGCTTAACTTACCTATTGGATAACCCACCCCTGTATTTTACCTATACTTTGCAAGTGACAACAGATGAAGACATTCTAAGAGCAGTTTGAATTTATAAAAGTAGGAAAGCCAGAATGTGAAGCTCTGAGGTCTAATACCTTCCCAGCTTGTGTTCTGTCCAATATACTACCTTGTGATAGCATGCAGAAGAAACTCCTGTTACTAAGCATTGGCCAACCAGGCACTGTGCTAGATTTTACTTATTTGATCGCAGTATTTGCTAAGAGTTTCTCAAACTCTGACAAGCATCAGAATCACCTGGAGGGCTTGTTAAACATACATTGCTGGGCCTCACCCCAGAGCTTCTGATTCACTTGTCTGAGGTGGGGCTCAAAAATGTATATTCCTAACAAATTCCCCGGTGATGCTGATGCTGATGGTCCCAACCACACACAGAGGACCACTCCTCTAAAGGTACAAGTAGTGGTCTTTTAAAACAAACCAAAATCCATTTAGCTCCTCATCTTTACATGAAGAGCTGGCAGCAGCCACCTGACACCACGCTCATGGCTGGCAGGGAGGAGAGAACTGGGTTTGTTCTCTTTTCTCCAAAGGAACTGAGAAGAAAGTAAGATGGTCAGGAACGAGGGGAGCAGAAAGAAGTTTTGAGATGTTGTATCCTCTATTACAAAATAGAATTTATACTTTTCAGCTATAACCTTACTCAGTAAGATTAACTTGAACCTGTTTCCTCATTTGGAAGATGGTTGGTTCCTAACATGTGGGTAATCAACCAACCAACTCATTGTCGTTGAGTCGATTCCGACTCACAGCGACCCTACAGGACAGAGTAGAGCTGCCCCACAGAGTTTCCAAGGAGTGGCTGGTGGATTCGAACTGCCAACCTTTTGGTTAGCAGCCGTAGCACTTAACCACTACACCACCAGGGTTTCCAACAAATGGGTAGTTGGGGCAAATAAAAGAATGCATGTAGTGAGTCAAGCTGACCTTTCCTTTGAGAGAGCAGTTGTTCCAAATTGGCAGCTGTTCCAGCTGGGGCACAGAGGAAACTGGAAGCCCGTTCTCTGCCTTGTGAGATTCAGCAGCCTTTATAAGAGGGTACACAGCCCCTAGAGGCAGTGTCAGGAGCCTTGCTTGTTTGCTGCTCTTATCCCTTGAATCTCCTGCTTTGGCATCACAGCAGGTTGCTGGGTCCTCTTCTTCTAGTACTTCTAGTGCTTTTACACTAAATGTTTTCTCCCCAACAACCGACTGGGTCAGATTTCAGTAGATACTTAATATAGGTAATTTCCCCCAGAGCTATAGGGGACACTTGCCTAGAAAGGAGCTCCCTGTTCTGAGAGCTAAATGGAAGAAGGGGGAAATAACTCATTAGAAAGAAAGGATCAAGTGCAGCTCTATCAAGTGAAAGTTAAGATGGGAGCCAGGAGTCATAATATCAGCTACACACCTGATATGTGCCAAGCCTTTAAATCCTCTTATTTAATCCATACAACATCTCTATGAGGTAAATTGTTCTCATCTCTCAGATGGGGACACTTGGACTCAGGGTAAAGCTGTTACACAGACCATTTGGAATTCAAAGCCAGGTCTGTTTCAGCAGATGCTTGCTGCATACTTTCTGTCAGACCCTGAGCTACCACACAGCTCAAAGTTCCGTGAAACCTGAAACCGTATCTGCAGGTTAAATGGCCGTATCTGAACTTGACAACAGTATAACCTCTCTTGAATTCTTGGTGGTTGGACAGTCAGAGGTGAGAGACATGGAGTCCCTGCCATTAGAAAGCTCAGGCTTCAAGATCAGGACTGCAACAAGCATGCAAGCACCAGCAAACCCAAACCGCACAAGAGGTCCAGGTGCAGTATAGCAGACATGTGTGTCAGAAAGGGGCTAGAAAGGAGGTGGTGATTACAGAGAACAGATGGAGAAAGGTGTCTGAGGCAGGAGGAACAGCCTCAGGGAAAGTACACATGTGTTTGAGAAATGGCCAGTTTTTACCCTCATCATTCGAAGAACTTTTTTTTTTTTTTTTTTGGAATCTATGCCAGGCCCATTGCTAGATGCTGCAGATAAAAAATGAAATTAGACATGGCCCCAGCCCTCAAAAGCTCACAGATGGCAATAAAGTATGCAGGGATATGGCAGGGGTCCACTGTACAGCGGAGAGTGCAAAGGGAGAGGTTGTGGTCCTACTGGGAGGATGGAGGTGAATGTCAGGAAAATCTTCACAGAAGAGATGCCTGAGCTAAGACTTAAAGGCTATCATTTGCCAGGCAGATGGAATGGAGAAGAGCAGGTGAAAGAACAGGATGAGGATCTTAAACATTCCAGGCAATCAGAGCAGTGTGAAGCAAAGACAAGAGGTAGAAAATACTGTGATGGGTGCAAGAAATCTTAGGTATCTTGCATGGCTGGATCACTGGGCAGGGGCTGGGGAGAGGCTGAAAGGGTCTGGATCATGCAGAATTTATCAGCCAGGCTAAGGAGCTTGGATTTAACGCTGTGGGAAAGAGGGAGCTATGGAAGAGTCTCATGCCCATTCCAGTCGTGAACTAAAAAGAAAAAAAGACGCACCAACTTTAACTGAGGCACAGAAAACATACACAGGGAGTGGGTCCTGCCCAGTAATCTGGGCTCAGGGAGCCACTGAAGGCTTTGGGGCAGAGGAAGGAGGAAGGGGTTAGGTTTGGCAGAGGCAGTCAGAGGGGTCAGGTACCTTGGCAAGGTGTTGATACTTCCGCTCTGGAATCACTGGCTTCCAGGGGATGCTGCCCATGTCTGATGGAGGAGGAGTCATGGGCGTAGGGTCCTCGAGGGCATCGTCATAGCTGAATGCCCGGCGGTACATCCCAATGGGCAGGGACATCTTGCCTAGAGGCTCACTAGGCTCAAGAGCTAAGAACAGAGATACCTGTCAGGATGGGTTCAGCAATTTCAGACTAGTAACATCAAATTAATCTGCAGGGAGGAAAGCTCTGAAACACTCTTGTTCTGAGACAGATAATCTGGAATAGCTAATTCATTCAAGGAAAGGTACTAGTACTAACCCCTTCCTCTGTGTCTGCCACTCTGCATTCTCGCCTTAACCCATGCAGCAGCCCTAACCCATTTTTATGGATTAGGAAACTGTTCAACTTAAAGGTTTAAGTTCAATTTAAATTTACCTGAACAAGGCCACACAATGTCAAAGTGCAGTTTGGAGTCCAAACCCAAACCTATCTAATTCCAAAGCTTTAGTTCTTTATGCCACAGAAGCTGTTTCCTATTACAATGCCAGGGCTCTCAATTCATGTAAGACTGAGGATATGAAGTGATCTCCTCATGATTCACTGGGCTGAAAGGCAAGTGAAGTTCTTGTTCCCATTTTATAGATGAGGAAACTATGGCCTAGAGGTGAAATGATGTGTCCCAGTTCATACAGCAAATGGCTACCTGAGGCTCAGACCAAGGTCTGACTGCAAATCTTCTGCCCCTCCTACCTCACCAAAGAACAGACTGCTCTAACAAGAAATATTTAAAACAACAAGTTGTCCAGCGTCACCTCTAGTTTCAAGAGTTCTGTATGATTTAAGCAGCTGAACCAATTTCCACCACAGAAATTGCTGACAACCACTCTCACAAAACTCAGGCAGCAGATCTCGCCGTTCCCACTCACTGGAACTGACTGGTAGAACGTCCTGCTGTGACGTCGCAGCTGATTTCAAGGGCACTCTCTGCTACACCAGATCAGGTAGCAAAGTTCATTTTGCTGGTTTGCTAAACCTTTCGTATCAGAACTAATATCCAGATCTTGCCTTCAGGGTGACATTTTCCTGTTGCTAAAATTCTACAATCACACTGTCCAAGACATCAACCTGTCTTACTAACAAATAATTACTAACAAATCCATAGAGACAGAAAGTATTTGCCAGGGGCTGGGGAATGACTGCTAATAGGCATGAGGTTTCCTTTGGGATGAAAATGTTCTCAGATCAGATAGTGGTGATGGTTGCAGAACCGTTGGAATAGAGGCAGTCCCTAGATTACAAATGAGTTTCATTCCTAAGACTGTTTTTAAGTCAAATTTATACATTAGTCAGAACAGCTAGGTATGGTTCGTATCTAACATCAGTTAGTCAAATGTTTGCCTTAGTATATAGTGTACCTTTCTATGCATAAAAAACATTAAAGAAACACTTCCAGATACACAAAAACATCTTTAACATAACAACACAGTAATAATGTTTCGATGTGCATGGCAAAGGACTGCCTGTTTGTTACCACAAACTATTGTATGTACCTCAAATTTTTAATATAATAAGCCTTACAGGGGTTGGTTCGTAACTACAGGTTGTATGTAAGTCAGCGTTCATAAGCCAGGGACTGCCTGTACACCAAAAACCACTAAAATGTGCACTGAAAGGGTGAATCTTATGGTATGTGAATTATATCTCAATTAGAACAAATCAACAAACAATAATTACTAAGTACCCTGTCTTGCCAAGCCCTTTACATCCCTCATCTTATCTAATCCTCATTAAGCACGGCTTCTTCCCATTTGCCAGCTCAGGAAACTGAGGCACAGATCTTAAATGACTTACCCAGTATAACCCAGCTAGCAAGTGTGGGGCAGGGCCTGGGAAGCAGATCTAATGCCAGTGCTCACACCCTACAGGCAATACTCCATGTTCCCCACACAACAAAACATTCAGCTAGGTCAGTGCAACTCTAGGATGGTTTTAAGAAGTTTATGGTAATCACAAGGAAAGACAAACGAAAACGCAAGCTGATATGTTACAGATGGATCCGTATTAGGGGACGCAGAGAGACTTCTATTAAACCACCTCTCAATACATCCACTAATTTGGGAGAAGTGTTCAAAAACATCATAAAGACCTGCTCCAAAAGCCATCCCAATAACCCATTGCTGTCAAGTCCATTCCAACTCATAGAACTGCCCCACAGGGTTTGCAAGGAGCGGCTGGTGGATTCGAACTGCTGACCTTTTGGTTAGCAGCCAAACGCTTAACCATTGTGCCACCAGGGCTCCTTAAATGTTGCTGTGAGCGTTTTCATGACTGTCTAAGTTCAATCTGCCAATAAATCAGGTGATGCCTTTTTGCCCAACCCTCCATCCCCAACCCCCCTAAAAAAAGATGCTGAGTTTAATCATTTTGACACATACGACAATACAAAAACTACACAACTCATTCGGATTTGTTATTTGATATTTGTGGGAAAGTGATAAATTTGTCATACCCTTAAAGGAAATGGGAAACCCTGGTGGCATAGTCGTTAAGAGCTACATCTGCTAACCAAAAGGTTGGCAGTTTGAATCCACCAGGCGCTCCTTGGAAACCATACGGGGCAGTTCTACTCTGTCCTATAGGGTCACTGTGAGTCAGAATTGACTCGAAGGCAACACATTTTAGTTTTTGTTGGTTTTTTTTTTTTTTTTTTTTTTTAACAGAAATGACTGTTTTAAGTTAGGTTTTGGGTTCATACCCTGGCTGCATAGTTAATAAAGTAATACTTAAATTATCTGTGAAGTCTGCTGGCAGAAAGTAACCAGTGGTTGCTATCTAGCTTAAAACGTTAAGGGCAAAACATGATTTTACCAAAAAGAATTAAGTTTACCAGGCACTTCTGGTTGTCTTGAAGCCATTGAAAAGACTGGGATCCAGGTGCTTATTCTATACAGAATTCCAGAGCTGAGTCCCTGCCACCTAATAAAAATAACAAAGGGCATTTTCTTACGGTGATCACCAAAGAATAGCTCCAATGCTGTTCTTTTGACAGGACACAGGGTTTTATAGCTTGTTTACAAAGCTGAAACACACACAAGAACCAATGGGTGACAAACATGCCAAGAGACAGAAAAGAGGATAAAGTCAAAGGTCTCACCACACCTATGGCTGACCTTAACACATGTGAGATAACAACGCCAAGGCACTATACATGGTGCAAGTCACCTTACCACAGTGAAATGATGTGACGATTATGCTGACAGACAGATAATGTGGAACATGGTCCAGCTGCTGCAAGTTAGCAAAGCTTCCCAGGAAGAGTCCATCCAGAGGTTCTAATAACAACAAACAACCAGCATTTGTACAGCTCTTCAGAGTCTGCCACACACTTTCCCATACATTCATTCATTCCGCTATAACAACCTTTCAGAAGAGACAGCATACCCATTTCCTTTTAAAATAAAGGTTCAGGGTCCAAATAACTTGAGTCACAGCAAAGAGCTGGCTGCCAGAGTAGTAAATTCATTTGATACTGCTAATACCGGCTAATATTTATACAGTTTTACACAAAAATTATCTTGTGTTTTAACCCTGCAAAGCAAGTATTATTTATCCCCACTTTTAAAAGAAAGAAACTAAAAGTCAGAGCAGGTAAGTGATTTCTCCATAGTCACAAGTAAGTGGTCCTTGTACCAGGGAGACAATTTCACCCTCATTTCACAGGGAAGTTAAAACAAGGCCCGGAGGGAGCCAATTTATTTGCTTTTCAAACTGCTACACTGCCCTGCTATCCTAATTGGGGCTCAAGGGGCAAACCAATCAGTTCTTCACTAGAGAGCATCACAAAAACCAACGTTCAGCCATCCTCGCGGTCCAGGACACCCACCCAGACACCCACCACCCCCTGCCGTGCCCCAAAGCTTGCCGCCCCTCAGGCCTCTACTTCACAAGATATAAAACAATGCCACCAGGATCTGAAAAGCCGGGTCTGACCCAACCCCTGTCCCCATCCCGCGAGGCTAAGGAAGACTACGGAGATTACGGCCGGGGCCTGGCATAGGCCAGAGCATCCCCGATGACAAGGGAGGGGAGGAGTGAGGGCGGGGAGTGGGGGCCTGGGCTGGGCCTCTCCCATGAAGTGGAGAAGAAGCCCCGGGGCTCCAGGAGCATCATCTGGGAGAGGCAACACTGGGGCACGGGACCACAGGCGGAGGGCGAGAGGAGCAAGGGGAGGTCCGATCGAGCTCTGGGCTGGGGCAAGGGATGAAAGGAGAGATATGGAGGGGCCCCGGGCCCTGGCTCAGGGGTCAGCAGCGCGCCCCCGGGATGGGTGGAGGTCGAAGCCCAGGGAGGGCCCCGGCCTGGCTGGTCACCTGTTCCTCCGTCGCCGCCGCCGCGGGACTCCCTGCGGCCCGAGCTCCGGCACTAAAGAGGCTCCGAGGACCCACGTCTCCCTAGACGCTGTGGCGCAGTCCGGACCCAAGCCATGGCGCGTACGCTGCTGACTCGGCGGCGACAACAAGAAGGCCTAAGACGCGGACCAACGAGCACTGGCTGCCGGGTCCGGGCGAACGGCCTTCGGGCTGAAGCTTCCTGAGACTGGGGTACTTCGCGCGAGATCTGGCCCGGGAGGTTCTCGGGGCATGCTGGGAGTTGTAGTTCACGATCGGGAGGCCTCCTTGGCTGCCCCGCAGGTTTGGAGGCGGGGGGCCGAGTCAAACACGTCTCTGAGAATCGAACTTGCATGCACCAAAGGAAAAAGACATCCTTTACCACCACTTCCAAAGCTTGAGTCTGTGACAGGCTGAGGGAAAAATGAAGATAGCAGAGACGGCACAGTAAAATGACACCCTTAAACCCAAGCTCACAAGTCGCAAAAAAGGGCTGCACAGGTGCAAGCGCTTTTCATCTTATTTTTCTGGCTTCACGGAGGGGAAGCTCAGAGAGATGAAGTCACTTAGACTAATAAGAGGTGGAGCAGGGACTCTGTTCCATGAGCGGCTGGGTTAGGCAAGGTCACTATACTTAAAAAAAAAAAAAAAAAAAACCGTTGTGGAGTGGATTCCGACTGCTACCGACCCTATGTTGTTGTTGTTAGGTGCTGTCCATTCAGTTCCGACTCCTAGCGACCATATGTACAGCAGAACCAAGGTCCTGCGCCATCCTCACAATCGTTGTTATACTTAAGCCCATGCAGCCACTGTGTCAATCCATCTCGTTGAGGGTCTTCCTCTTTTTCACTGACCCTCTACTTTATCAAGCATAATATCCTTCTCCAGGGACTGACCCCTCCTGATAACATGTCCAAAGTATGTGAGACATAGTCTCGCCATTCTTGCTTCTAAGGAGCGTTCTGGTCGTACTTCCGCCAAGACAGATTTGGTCCTTCTTTTGGCAGTCCATGGTATATTCAATATTCTTCGCCAACACCACAATTCAAAGGCGACAATTGTTCTTCAGCCTTCGTTATTCATCATCCAGCTTTCACACGCATATGAGGCGATTGAAAACACCATGGCTTGGGTCAGGCACACGTTAGTCTTCAAGGTGACATCTTTGCTATTCAACACTTTTAAAAGGTCTTTTGCAACAGATTTGCCCAGTGCAATGCTTCGTTTGATTTCTTGACTGCTCCTTCCATAAGTGTTGATTGTGGATCCAAGTAAAATGAAATCCTTGACAACTTCAATCCTTTCTCCATTTATCATGAGTTTGCTATTGGTCCAGTTGTGAGAATTTTTGTTTTCTTTACGTTGAGGCTGTGGTCTTTGATCCTCATCACTAAGTGCTTCAAATCCCCTTCACTTTCAGCAAGCAAGGTTGTGTTATCTGCATAACACAGGTTGTTAATGAGTCTTCCTCCAATCCTGATGCCTGTTCTTCTTCATATAGTCCAGCTTCTGGGATTATTTGCTCAGCATACAGATTGAATAGGTATGGTGAAAGAATACTCAGTATCCCCTTGTTCTGTTCAAACTACTGCCTCTTGGTCTATGTACAGGTTCCTCATGAGCACAACTTTAGTGTTCTGGAATTCCCATTCTCCCCAATGTTATTCATAATTTGTTATGATCCACACAGTCGAATGCCTTTGCATAGTCAATAAAACACAGGTAAACATCTTTCTAGTATTCTCAGCTTTCAGCCAAGATCCGTCTGACATCAGCAATAATATCCCTGGTTCCATGTCCTCTTCTGAATCTGGCTTGAATTTCTGGAAGTTCCCTGAGGATATACTGATGCAGCTGCTTTTGAATGATCTTCAGCAAAATTTTACTTGCGTGTGATGTTAATAATATTGTTCGATAATTCTGCATTCAGTTAGATCACCTTTCTTGGAATAGGCATAAATATGGATCTCTTCCAATCAGTTGACCAGGTAGCCATCTTTCAAATTTCTTAGCGTAGATGAGTGAGCACTTCCAGCACTGTAGTCATTTGTTGAAACATCTCAATTGGTATTCTGTCAATTCCTGGAGCCTCGTTTTTCGCCAATGCCTTCAGTGCGGCATAGACTTCCTCCTTCAGTACCATCAACCCTATTGCTGAGACAAAAAAGAGAGCAAACCTCATCTGTCTCCCCTAGGTAACACGCAAGCCCCCACAGTATGACAAACTGACAGACGCGCAGGAGGAGGCTTGGAGAAGCATCAGCTCAAATACGACATTCTAAAGGAAAACTTCTCTTTTCTCCAAGGTGTTTACATATGTGACAAAGCAACAAATCTGAGGAAATGAAAGAAGTTGAAAAAAAAATCTACCTACTTGAAGCTTGCCATCAAGCTCATCTCAGAAAGAGGTAGTGGGGAGGGAGGGTTCGCATTTAGATTCCAGATTTGACCTTTGCCAGGCATATTGGCAGGACTGAGAGAAGGCTTTGCTTCCACACCTTTAAAATTGAATGCCATTCCTTGACCAAGGACTAGGATGCACTGGGGATTAAAGTCCGTTATAAACTCTATAATTAGTTTATGAATAGCACAATTATAATGCCATTGTGATTCTTTTGTGTGTTAAAAGTGTTAGTTTGTTGATTTTAAACTTTTTAAATATGCCATAATTTAACCTCTGTGGAAGCAAAGCTGCCATCTCACCCTGCCTACATGGTGGGGAGGGGGGAGGAAGAGCACTTTGCTCCCACAGACGTTTGCTTCCTTATATAAATCAAGAGGCAGGATCACCTTTTTTAGTTCTTATCCCCATACAAATGAAAACTTAAACCTTTCCTGGAAGTTGCTGATTGTCTGACAAAAACAACTTTATCCCTGGCTTTTGCAGTATGTACGAATGTCTAAAGATGGGTCAACCTTGGCAGATAGTAATCATGTGAGAAAATTGCTATTTTCCACGAAAAGCAGACTAATTGTAAACTTATTAACCTTAGAAATCTTGTGGATTTTTCCGCTTTCTAAGTGGGTGTTTTGTTTCGTTTGGGGGGAGCGGGGAGCCAATCCTTCTAAAGCCTAGATTCCCCTTGTTGTTGTTGTGTGCTGTCCAGTCGATTCCAACTCATACTGACCCCTTATGACAGAGTAGAACTGTGCCATAGAGTTTTCTAGAATGTAATCTTTACAGGAGCAGATCACCAGGTCTTTTCTCCTGCAGAGTAGCTAGAGGGTTCGAACTGCCAACCTTTCAGTTAGCAGCTGTCTTAGTCATCTAGTGCTGCTATAACAGAAATACCACAAGCGGATGGCTTTAACAAAGAGAATTTATTCTCTCACAGTCTAGTAGGCTGGAAGTCCTAATTCAGGGTGCCAGCTCCAGGGGAAAGCTTTCTCTCTCTGTTGACTCTGGAGGAAGGTCCTTCTCATCAATCTTCCCTCAGTCTAGGAACTCTTCAGTGCAGGGACCCCAGGTCCAAAGGACGTGCACTTCTGGTCTCTTTTCTTGGTGGTATGAGGTCCCTCTGTCTATCTGCTCACTTCTTTCTTTTATATCTCAAAGAGATTGATTTATAATACAACCTAATCTTGTAGATTGAGTCCTGCCTCATTAACGTAACTGCCGCTAATCCCACTTCATTAGCATCGTAGAGATAGGATTTACAACACGTAGGAAAATCACCTCAGATGGCAAAATGGAAGACAATCCCACAATACTGGGAATCATGACCTAGCCAAGTTTACACACATTTTTGGGGGGACAAAATTCAATCCAAAACAGCAGCCACACTTGACCATTGCCCCACCAATGCTCCCCTACAAAACTTCTTTGCAAGTAAACTACTTTTCTTTCTTTTTATTTTTTTTTATTGTGCTTTAAGTGGAAGCTTACAATTCAAGTTAGTTTCTCACACAAAAATTTATGCACACATTGTTATGTGACCCTAGTTGCTCTCCCTATACTGTGACAGCACACTCCTCTTCTCCAAGTCGGATTTCCCGTCCATTCAACCAGCTCCTGACCCTCTCTGCTGCCTCATCTTGCCTCTAGACAGGAGCTGCCCATTTAATCTCACGAATCTACCTGAGCTAAGAAGCACACTCTTCATGAGCATCATTTTATGTCTCATAGTCCAGTCTAATCTTTGCCTGAACAGTTGGCCTCAGGAATAGTTTTAGTTTTGGGCTAACAGAGAGTCCTGGGACCATGTCTTCCAGGGTCCCTCCAGTCTCAGTCAAACCATTAAGTCTTGTCTTTTTACTAGAATTTGAGTTCTGCACCTCACTTTTCTCCTGCTGCATCAGGGACTCTCTGTTGTGTTCCCTGTCAGGGCAGTCATTGGTGGTAGCCGGGCACCATCTACTTCTGGTCTCAGGCTGATGGAGTTCCTGGTTTGTGTGGCCCTTTCTGTCTATGGGGCTAATATTTTCCTTGTGTCTTTCATTTTCTTCATTCTCCTTTACTCCAGATGGGTTGGGACAAATTGATGCATCT